GCCGCACACTTTACTCCAGTGCCACTGCATCGCAGCAGCGGTTTAAGCCTAACCAGGCGACGCTGCACTGCACCGGGCAAGGAGCCATCTTATCATGCTGGATGAGGGGGGCGAGTTTAAACCATGCTGAGTAGATTCAAGAGACTGTTCGGGTATGCAGACTAAAGGTAGAAAATACCCAAAAGCTACATAAGTCTTGCAGAGCAATGAAGTGGTTTCGGATGACGATGAAGTCTTACCTATCCCTTCACCTTCACAGCACAGCGCTCGGAGTCCAATGTGCAGCTGGTCAGGATGGCGGACACTGAGAGCTGACATTGCTGTCCCTGCACTTGGCTGGTTCTGCACGTCAGGCTCCAGGTCCTCAACCAAGGAGCATTCACGATACCCACACACACTTCATTTAGAGTGATTTGCCTGTCCTTCCACCCATATGAACTCAACATCTCCTTTTGTATACAGTCACACCAGAAGAGACGACAAGGAAACTAGGAAATCCTTCGTAGGAAACACAAAGCAGAGAAGCCAGGGCTGTGCGGGCCCTTCTCCACACGGACAGCACTGTCGCTAATCCTTACGCTGACTCCACAGTCGTCGTGTGTGTGCCCCCCCCAGTATGCGACACACGCTCACCATCACGCACTGAAAAGCGGGCAGACCGACAGCAAACCCCGGTCAGCAGGAGCTCGGCCACGGGAGCCACCTACCCCGTGACGCCCCGCGCTCCTGGACGCCCATCTGCAGAGCGAGCCCCGCCCGGCAGGTGTTACTGGGGGAGAGCGGAGGTTACTGGAGGCCAGAGAACAGAAGTTACCTGAGGCGCACAGAGGTCAGACGATAACTGATGTCAGAAGACAGGAGTTACTCTGGTGTGAAGGCTACCTCAGGTCTCAGGGCAGATGTTGCGCCAGGTGAAAGGTTACCCCCAGTCTCAGGTTACTCGAGGTGAAACCTGCCTTTGGACTAAGTCTCACCAGCGTCCCCACGGGAAGCCAGAACCACAGTTCCAACGCATTTCCGACACCCGGACGCTCTCGGTTGCCGACATGCCCGACCCAGGCCCACAAGCACGGGCCCAGAGGTTCCTACTTATACCCAGGCATGCACGCTATGTTGCACAGCACTGTTTGGGACCGGCTGCCCTCACACCCACCAACGCGCCAGCAGCTTGCCGGCACGGAGAACGGCACTCCAGCCCCCAGGAGCGCTGTAATGCAGTCAGACGTCGCCACAGAGAACTGCTGAATGGACTGAAGGTGACTGAGTCGAAGGAATTGTTTGCAGCGATTTGTGATGAAGACTCGGTGCCCATTTCGCAATGGCAGGCATCTCTTCACTTTCATGCTTGATAGTAGAAAGTTTTTCTTCACACCTTGTTAATAAAATTGGTTTCCAGCTTCTCCCAAGGATTGAGAAACATCACTCCATTTTATTAAAAAAAAAAAAAAAAACACAACTGATACACAGTTGTTACCAGCAGGGACTACCACACTCAGGGGACTTAGACACAAGACTTAAGTCATCACTCAAAATTAACACCAACTGCATGCTTGCCAGTAAGACTTACTCTAGCTCCAAATTTAAGTTCAAACCAGAAAAATCTCAACCTGAGTACAAACTTTTTGGGTATTTATCCAAACAAAAGCTAAGGGAAAGTACTTAGAATGGTTGGGAAAAGAAAGTCAAAATTTATTTTTTTTTAATCTAGCTGTATTTTACTGTCATGACAAACAGGATGTCAACTTTTTTAAAATAATAAACTGTGACCATTTCAAATGTAACTTTCTAAAGTCATAATAAATCTAAAAAGCTAGCAGGTGGCTAATGCTAGTCAAAAGCAACAACAAAAAAAGCACCCCAAACTCTCCCCATAAACAACATAAAGCAATTTTGAGTGTTGCTCTGCTGTAATAGCTCATCTTTTTTTTTTTAACATAGCGAATTCTTGAAAATTCAGGTAGCTTCATCCAATAATATAAAACCAAACCACGCAACCACTCAGCCTCAGTCAATTTTTAATGTTCTGCCAGGATAAATACGTCCCAGAAAACAGGTTCTGAAATGCAAGTCACTTCAGAACCAAAGACAGTTTAGTAACAAACAAGTACATCTGCTAACAAACCAAAAAAAAAGCTTTCTAAAGAATTTTCTTGTCATTTTCAGCTACCTGGCAACAGGCAATGTCACATCAGAACATCAAGGCCCAAACACTGCCTCAAGGTCCTTTGAAACGGCAAAGGACTACTTTCACTGTCATTCAGACTAGATCCCACAGATCAGCCCTAAAAACACTCAGAATTACCCTACATCCTATTAGGGACGATAGTGAAAGAACCATCATTAGCTGGCAGCATCAAACTAGTGGTTCAGGAAAGACGACACTTTTTCATATGGGCTGAAACCACATTAAAAAGGAAAAAAAAAAATTAGGAAAGACCTACTAACCCGGCAATAATTTGGTATTTCACTGATGATCCGTAATTAGTTTGCTTCATAAGATTTGCTTTTCTCATTAATTGCATTGAAAGCTTTTGCGCAAGACAAAAATAAATGCTTGACTTAAAAGCCTCCGAAAGGACATGATTGTAAATTCTTGTCTTCACACAGCAATTGCAATAAGCATGGTATTATACAGCCTTTTTCTGGAAAAAAACCCCTATTTTTTTAAAAAAAGTCAACTTCTTTGTAGTGCTGATACACTGGCCATTTATCTGCTGGGAGAAGTTAACTGCCTTTACAAGCCTTCAACTGTTTCGCGCGGCATACCCATGCTGCTGCGCATCATGAGAAACCCAGCCTAACGAGCTCATACAAACAAACTTTGAATCGACGTTTCTGAAGGCAGAAGGACCTTACCATTTCCTCCTCATACAACCAAAGGGAAAAACACTCCATTAGCTTTGGAAATAAACACAACCACCAGGATTTAAACCCAGCTGTCATTACAGAGCAGCAGCTGTACCACAAAGCACCTGTGTATACACAGGCTACCGTTCCACACGGTAGCTGATCCACTCCATCACAGCAGAAGCTTCCTTGGGGGTCCATAACTTCTTTCCATCCTTTCCAAAATAACACTTGCCTGAAGCCAAAGGACTGAAGAGAAAAGCCACGAACTCAGGTTTTCTAACTGTTTTTTTTTAATAAACTATAGAAGAACAAGGTAACATTTCAACCAAAGTCATGACAGCTGCATGCTTAAAAGCATATACACACGTCTCTGGATTTTTCTGTTCTCTTTAGAAGAAAAAAAGGAGAAAAACCATCATGTGAATGCATAGATTTCTATACATATTCAAATAATAGCACACTAAATCAAGCAAAAAATGTTTTAAGAGTGATTCCAGGTCTACGAAATTTTAAAAAGGAAGTTTCAGTTCTAGGAATCTTTATGCTGAACAAGTTCCATTTTCATACAGCATTAAAATAAGTTTTATAAATTGAGGCACTAGAAACAAAACTTACACAATAGCTCAAATGCATCTAATGTACGAACTGAAAAACCTACAGGCCATAAGCGTACAAGAACTTTAGAACTTAAAAGGTTGCATTAGATTTGTACTTGCTCACATTGACACAGTGAAATCAGTGGAAAACTACTGTTTTTCCAGTAGCGAGTAAAATCAGGTTCCGATTGTTGGTTCCAAACAGTTATCTTCCCAGCTTTTTTCTCATGGTCCTTGCTTGCCTCTTATGTATTATCATTGGGGAAAAAAAATCCGAGAGGTTCCTGTGCCACCCCATTCAGCAAGGTGTAAAAAGAAATGCAAAGCACCCGTCCTTGTGCACAGCTGTATCTATGGTGCCATATTCCCTTACTTCATCCCGTTCCCCAACATCACTGAGCTTCTACAGGGTTAATAAATTTGTTTAGAATTAGGCATTCATGTTCTACAAGGGATGCTTATTTTTATCTTTTGATCCGTATTTTCTGTGGGGGTCAGGCAGTACTGAAGACTAGCGGTCTTAAAGTAATCAGAGTGATCACATAGCAAGAATAACTTGAGACAGAAAGGAGCTCGTACAGATACGTATGCTGCTTTCTTTACGAGGAAGAGTACTCAAGATCCAGTGAGGTTTCCACCTAGATGCTACAGTAACTGGCACCCTCTAAGGCCCTACCATTAAAATATACCTCAATATTTTAATCAGGCACTTAAATAGAAAAACGAAGCAGTAACACTTAACATAGGTATTGTGACAGCTATTCTGTAAGGCCAGAACATCTTGTATAAAGCACTCAGGAAATTAAATGTCCCACAGAACCAAGTAACTCATGTCAAGGGCTAAAGGAATGAAGAGTCCCTCACTAGACAAACTGAAAGATGCCTAGTATATATTTGGTAAAAGCCGTTAACCACGAACATATATTCTTCACTATCTAATGCAAAATGTAGTGCAAGGCTATTCATCCCTTGAGAAGACGGATCCAAAAGTAAACATTCAATGTGCTTTAATTTAAAAGACAGGATTTTTTTCTCCCCACAAAAAAAGTTACTCCACTTATAACAAGCTCCCTGAGGGAATACATTAATTTTTTTTCAAGGGAAAAAAGCAGTCATTTAAAAACAAAATCTGAAAAGCTCCAACAATCACTAGTTGCCCTGTTTTGAGCCACAACACATTTCTGATCAACATTTCTTTGGAAAACATAGGTTAGATCAACCAGTCACTGGTCCTGTAAGACGGACCCTGATCTTCCTTCTTTTAAGGAGTATTCTGGAGATGAGAGTAACCATTCTTATAAAATGGTAATGAACATATTCTAGTCCAATGCACTTCAAAGTTACAGGAAAACTCTACCTGCAAGACTTCAACTACCAACATTTAAATGGTTATTTGTAGATTCTGTCACAAAAATACAGAATCAAGGAAACGAGGTGGAAATTCAGCTGTAAGGCTAAACACTTGAGAAGTTATCTTTATGTTACTCAAGTCAAGGGACAAATAAAAGAATCTAGACACACAAAATGCACTTATACAGCAATGAGAATGCCAAGTGTTTAAACCATTCTTCAGTAATTTATTTTTTTTTACTGATGATTTACAAGGCCTTGATTATTAGACAAAATAGCATATTTTAACTAAACTCAAAACCATACAAACCAGGAGAGCATAGAAGGAAATGCTATATGGTTCCGTAGAATATATCACATCCAGTGCACCTTCTGCTTCACTTTTCTTATCTGAACCCATTTGTTACTTGCAGTACTTTTGCAAAGAAGTATTTTGCTTTAGCCAACATGTAGTGTACAGTTTCAGACCACTGAATTAGGCTCCAATTCTGGAATTAGTCTACAGTCTAAACCACTGCAGCAGATCTCTTGAAGTGTTTAGTGTAATCAAAAACTGATCTAGACATTTTTGAGCAGTTAACAATAAACAGGAGTTATAGACTGCATACAGTTCAGTGCGGTACATTAACTGAAGCTAAAAGTTTTAGTATGCTTATTGCCAATTTCTCCCAAATTTTAACAAGCAGAACTTCTTTGCAGATACATTATTGCTGAGGGTAGTAAGGCTGTTGAGGAAAAGGGTATCCAGGTTGTTGAGGTGCTGGATATGGTGCTTGTCCAGGGTTTTGATACACAGGCGAGGGTGCATATGGCAGATTATACTGACCATACATGTATGGATTATAGCCCATTGGCATTGGCATCTGGCAATACCTGTGTGGAAGATGGGAAAAGAATAGTTGTAAAACACTGATGATGTTAATTTGAAAATTACAACTCATTAATAGGTACAAAAAGACATGTAATCACCACAAATGGTTTCCTTTCATTCTCCTTTTTGCGCAGCAGAAAGTGTGGTAACTTTCAAGGATCAAACGTGGAAAAACTTAAAATGCGTGGAACAGAAATGCAGACAGAAGGTGGAGTAAAGGCAAACTTGCTGGAACTGGACTGATCTAAATTGATTCTCTTATATTTAATATCATTGTACATATTTTAACATTTGCTAAGCTCGCTACTGAAGGAGCGAGCAGCTGTCTTCAATTCCTCTTGATGACTCCAGAAAGATGGAAAAAAGCAGAGGAAAGCACGCCACTCAACTGGATTTTTTCTTCTGTATTTTTCATCATCTTTAGCAAGATACCAAGATTTGAAAAATGATATATGCCAACTTTTTAGAGATAAACAATACCAACTGATTATGGTTGGCAATAGTCCATAAACCACAGTTAAGGAACTGCAGTCTTATCTCCTTTCTCCTCTAAAAAAGCCAAACTACAAAAACCTAAAACGAACCCTCCCACAAATGGTACCAGCAAACAATTGCAAAAAGAATGACATGATTAAAACTAAAAAAATCATCTTGCCTCAAACACTAAACATATCTTCAGTTTTAACAGTAACTGATTTAAAAACATCACGTGCAATAAACAAGTGCATTTAGATAACGGATAACAAAGAACTGCTTAAGTACTCCCATAGCTTACCCTGGGTAACCTGGATAAGTTGGGTAAGGAGGTCCCTGTGCCTGTGAAGGCGCAGTGCTTGCTGCAGGTGCACTGGCTCCTGGAGTAGGAGCAGGAGCAGCAGCGGCAGCAGCAGCAGGAGGAGCTGCAGCTGTTCCAGCATCTTAAATGGACATTCTATATATACTCTGTACAGACAATAATGCAAAGCACCTAAAAAGCAGTAACTTTTCCATATCAAATCTATAAATTATGAACATCAATAGTACATAATACATGTCTCTGCCAAGTTTTTAGACTTTGCCCTCTATTCACGTCAACTCATTTCCAAATACATCAATATGTATGGCTTTTCATGGCATCAAATATATTAAGGAATGACACTACAGATCAGTTTGGAGTTCCAAAGTATGGACCTTCTATTCTCAACCCACTAATTCCGTAGCATATATTTACCACCATGGTTCTGGGTGCCGGGGTAGGAGTTGGCGATGCAGCAGGCTTACTTCCTCCAGCTGATGTCGTCTGATACGTAGGCAAAGGAATAGAGGGGGCACTGGGTTCCCTAGCAATACTTTGCTGCAAATCTCTATTAAAAACAAACAAGCAAACATACAGCTTAGTTTAAGAATTGTTTGTTATACACTTCAGCAAGCTAAGCTAAAAAGATGAAACAGACTAAATCTAGTATTTCAAGCATGATCACTGAGCTAGCTCAGACTATATCTGGAGTCCATACCACTTTCACAGAAATAACCCTCTAGCAAACCCTCCAACTCTTACATTTATTTTCTAATAATGTCTTTATGTTCCAACTCAATACTGGGTATAGATCACTGAATTAGCCAAACGCTTTGGGATCAGAAATTATAGAACAGTGAGAACATTTAGCAACTTAGAAGCTTTGCTGAGAACCTAAGGAAATCTCAAGGCTACAGTAAAGGATAAAAGTATATTTCAGTAATTCTGACATGTAAAGAGATGCTCAAATACAGAAGATGCTTGCAGATTGCTCTAAATTAAGTAACATTGTACGCAAATACCATACATCAGAGAAACAGAGAGAGAGAAAAAAGAGAGAGATAGAAAAGAGAAAAAAAAAGAAAAAAAAATCCACTAGATAGTCTACAGTATCATTTATATCTAGGTGAACATAGCTATCAAAAAAAACCTGGCAAAAGTCTCAACATCTCAGCACATGAGCTTTCAAGTTTTCTACTTTGTTACCTCTACTGTTAGAGAAGTAGTCTTGGTAAGACACTTTAGCATTTTACTTCAGCAAGATACAAGGAGGCTTTGATGTGTTGTACTACAAGCTGCCGTTAAACAGCATAATTTTATTCTTGGCTTATCATGAAAACTTCATGGAAGCAGTTCTAAGTTACACACTCAGAGGAATGCAGTGCATTTCTCAATGCAAAGATTCAATATTTGAGACCAGGCAGATTCTTCAGAGATACTTTAGGAAACATTTAAAATTTCAGACAATTTTGAATAAAAATGATAGGTGAGCAATACATAACAGCTAGAACTTGATACCTGCGATTCTGAAACAGAAGACAGAGGAGACTGACAAAGGTATACAGTCTATAGTCAACAACAAATTGCAGGCTCCTATCATACAGCATGCAAAGATAAGCTCCAAAGGAGAACAAAACTGGCAACTTTTGTAGAAACTTAGTAGAAAAAACAAGACAAAGAGAAACTCCAAGAAAACTGTCCTCACAGTAAAAAGGAATGATGGAGAAAAAGCTGGAAATACTGTCTTGATGTTCTGTTACACATTCGTATGTATATCTCAAACTGTTCACTGCAGACAGTGCAGTAACTATTTAACACCATATTATACTGAAACTAAAAGAACCAAAACTTAACATCTTAGAAGATGACATAAGAGATGGAAGTAACAATTTTCGTCTTAAAATTACACTGCAAAGACCAGTGGCTTACAGAACAGTGGTACCATTCCGAGTGAAGTATATTTTGACCACAAAGTGAGTAAACACATTTAAATGTGAAGCTTAAAACACTACTAAAACTGATCCTCCAATGGACATTATGTGGGGAAAAAAATTCTCTCTAGTTCTAAATGAGAAACCATCTCAAAAAATTCATTTTCACTCAGTGAAAATGCAGCCCCTGTCCCCTTTTTGTTGGGGGGGGGGGGGGGGCAAACCACATTTTATTCACTCAAACCATGGGTTGGGTGCACTGAGAAATACATTTTGTAGACATATACTACAAATATCCCAAATCTGATCGCTGCCCCTAACCTTGACAGGATTTCATGTCAGTGAACAGTTAACATTTAACATATTATGGCAAGATTCATCTGAATATTATATCAATACTAAGCCTACAGCTCTAGCACTGAATGTTAACATACTAGAGATGTGAGATATTCAGACCTAAGCCTGTGTGATTTGCTAAAGAATAATGATTAAAAGGCAAGCCTTTTCAGTTACGCTTTCCTCTTGAGATACTAAAAAAATCACAGCTGAATCATACTATACTAGCCTGATCACATCTGGAGAACAATGACAACATCAGAAACTTTCCTTCACATGAAGGACAAAATCTATTTCTCTCTCCAGAAGTGTAGGCAACCCACATATCTAAACAATGACAAAGTATCAGACCAGATCAGACTACGGAGCAGACATGGAATACCAACATTTTTCCCCTGCTGACAGTGGGCACATGAAAGGCAATCCTATGCTGAAACGTTTATTTAATTTCTCAAACCAAAACGACAACAGGAGCAAGATGCAGAAATCAGAAGTTCCTCACAGGAAAGAATAAAACAAAATGATTAAACAGACACATGCCAAAAAGAACTGAGAGCAAAATTATAAAATTAAACAGATTCATGCTGAACTGTATATAGGCACAGCAGAGCAGACTTCAAAGTAGATTCTTCCATTTATTTCTCCTATCAACTTTCATAGTTTTTCAGAGAGGGAAGAGTGGGGTTATCATTAGAGGGGGGAAGGCGAGGTTAGCATTAAGGCAAAGAAGAGGTGATAGTCCTAATACACCTATTCTCCCTTGCTCATTTCATCAAGTATCATAATAAACCTGTCCTCAAAGATTAATTTCTGATAAATATTTAACTTTCTATGAAGCTTAAACAAAATATTGAAATCTTACTTGAGCAGTTCATCTCTTTCAGTCTTGCGAGCAAAGACAATGTCACTGCATTTATTTTGAAATTTCAGCAAGATTTCTGTCAGCTCATTGTAAAACTAGTGAAGAAAAAACCCAACAAGTTCAGTCAATACTTTCAGACTCCATGTTAGCATATTGCTACATATTGATCCAATTATAGGCATCGCATTAATTACAGTGCCCAGAACTTGCCATTCCAGTAAAGTCTGCTAGTGCATTTTATTCTGCTTTTCAAAAACTATTACTCAGCTCTTGTCCACCCCTGTAATAGCATACAATTTTGTTGTTATGTTTCTGTGTTTGTTTTTTTTTAATATATATGTGTGTGTATAAATTTAAAATAGTTTAAGACAAGCAGAAAATGTATTACCACCAGAACAAAACTAGATCGCTTCTGGTGATTAACTGTTTATTTTTTAAAAGATTTTTTTTTTTTTTTAATTTTACTGCCTTCAGTCAGTTCCATGCATTTCATTCGTATAGACATTTCAGAGTTTTATTTTCTTTCCTCTAGTGAGCTATCAGCAAATCAGCAAAAAGTACTTAACACAGAATCAGTACGACACCTTCCAGATCAAAAAAAAGTAAGCTAAATAAAGCTCTCCTCACGTATGCAGCGGCAGTATATGAAACACAAGTTTGATAAGGTGATTAAATACCATGGGAGAACAGATGAAAGAATTCTTCAGATAAAATGGCTCATCTGGGTACTTCAGCATCAGTTACTCAACTGTAATTAACATCCTTTCCTACTTTAATATAAAGCAATGCTCAGAAAAGCTTACTTTTCAGATAGGAACAAAGGAGCTTTTCACAATTGTCTGAATAATCAAACTTCAAGCAACCCACTGTCCTTACTTCAGTAGTAAAATCCTCATAAATGTACCTCTCATCTAGCATGTCTGCAAGGTTTATTATGATTTGAGTCATGTCTCACTGTGTAAATAAAAATAAGTTCTTTCAAACCCTGAAGTGTTATCATACCTTTGTACCTTCTTTTAAATTGGCTACAAGTTCCACGAAGTTGTCATTTGCTACAGCTAAATTCTTCAAAACTTCTTCTCTTAAATTAGATTCATTGTTTGATTGTTTCATCTTCGAAAATTCCTGATGTGCATTCTTAAAAGAGGGGAAAAAAATATGCAATGAAAACAATGCAACCTAGTTTCGTACAAGATTCTGCATCTTTATGTTTTTTCCTCTTACTCCTTGCATGTTTGTCCTTTTCCCAATGCCTGCCTTTCCTCACCTTCTGCACTGTACTTCCTGATACTTGCTATCTGCCAAGTGCAGTGGCTATTTCAGAACTATACATTCATTAACTCACTGGCAGTAGGTATCAGCTAATTCACAAGTTCATACTGCAGACTCAGAGGCTACACTAATCTGGCTCTCTCCTGTACTACCCTCCACTGAAACTCATAAAATCACATTGAATTCTAAGAAGTGCCACCTCAAATTTGGTTGATGCTGACAAGCTATTAAAAGGACAGGAAAGTGGAAAACTTACAGAAGGATCATCTACATGTCATTTTATTTGGGGGAAAAAAAACCAAAGCAAGCAAACCTAGAAAGACTACTTCAGCTGCCAAAAGCAGCCAAACTTGAACTCCAACACATTCAAACATCAAAGTAGTATCTATCAAGGTTTTTAAAGTATATTATGGTAAAAGATATCTGAACATAAAATCCCTGATAAACATTAGGAAACCATTTTTTCCCTTTTGGAAAAGTCTTATTCTTGCAATCCAAGTTGCAGTCAGAAGTTGCAAATAATCCTGTGCACAAAGAGGCCTCATCATTACTCAAGCCACTGCTGTCACTTATCAAAACATTAAAACTTCCTCTTTCGCCAGATGTTTCAAATATCCATCTCCAGCGTTACTTACAAATTAAGCCTGAATTTATAAATAAACTTTGGTAAATTCTCATTAATTTTTAATTCGATGAGCTTTGCACATGCTGGACATCAAGCACATTGTAAACAGCAATTAGGAATAAACCACAATGTACTTCAGAGACCCAAAACGTCCTCTAGTAGACAGCAAGGACAGGTCTCCTGTCACCCCAGAAAGAAGTATTAAAATGGGATGAGGGGAAAAATCAAAACCAAAAACTTCTTAACATACCAGTTAAGCTTCTTTCAAAGGCAAAATCATCTGCACAATTGGGCCAAGAAAAGGTCGAAGAGAATTTACACTGGAGATCTGGGAGATTCTGCTAAAATTCACATTTTTTTCCAGTGAACACAAAAAACACCCCTGTATGTTTCAGTAATCAGAGGCATAAAGAAGTATCAACTGGCGTATGACAGAGTAACTAGCAAAACTGAGTAGAAAGCAAAGTGATATTTCTAAAGCACTGGAGAGATACAGGAATTGTTAGTCCTTACTTTAAAAGGAAGGAAGACATGCAAGGTGTTGTACCTGAATGTTTTTGAGATGTTCTTCCTGCTTTTTTAGGGACTCTTGCACTTTCTGTGTGTAACTTCCATAAATTCTGTCCAACTCCGTCACAGAAATAGCCTCCTCATTTATAGCACCATCCTGTGCAAGTGCAGTCAGGAATTTGCTTGTCATGTCAAAATTTACAGATTTCAGGTCGTTTTCCAGTTGTTCTCTCTCCTTCTTAACTTCATCCAGATTGGCCAGCAAAGTTCTTAAGACATTAACAACCTAGGCAATAAAAAGTGTCAGAAGTTAGCATGTTTAGAGGAATTATTGGAGAAGTATAATCTATTACTTGTTTTTCCATCTTGCACTCCTCACCGATGCTGGCGACACTACTGCAGGAGTATTTGTTTATAAATGTGTTTAAGATGACAAACCAGGACAAAATGCAATGAAACAGAGATCTTCTAGCATTTCTGAAGCTATATTCTTCTCTGAAGATTTTCTTCCAGTAACACTGAATTACCACAAAGATTTTTAAACTTTTTTTAAAAACTGTTATCTTCCAATAGAATATTCTAAAAACAGCAGTCAAAACCACTGAATTCAAATTACTCCTATGAGAAAAACAATCATATTGCTATATACGAGCCATGACTTTCTTGAAAAGCAAATTGGTGTAATTGCCTAATACTTTAAAACACTGGGCCATGTCATTTACGTTGCCTAATTGCCCCAAAAACCTGAGCACTACACCACCCTATATAACAAAAATATTCATCAAGGATTGCTTCTTTTATAACAGTCAACCAGTCTTGCCATCCATGGCGATCGAACTTGCTCACACTAAGTGTAACAAACTGTACTCAAGCAGATATACAAAAAAAAATAAAATTTCTTTTCCAAATGTTAGTTGCCTCTTGTATCAACTGCGATAGAAACAAGAGCAGCTAAGGACCACCTTCCACATCAATTCATGTAGGTTTATTTTGTTTGATTAATAGCACTTCTATTCAAAATGGAGACAAATATCAATGCTTTACCTCACTTCCTTGTAATGTTTTTGCTGGGTTGGCAGAAGGAATGGCTGCGTTGAGTTCTGACTCTGGCTTACACAGAAGGGCAATCGTATCCCGGTGAGACTGATAGCGCTCTTTAACTTGGCCATCTGCTTGCACAGCTTTATTCAAAATATTATGGTAGTTGGCTCCCTCTGGTGGTGGGAGAGGAAAAAAGGATGCTTACATAATTTCAAAACTTCCTTTTATTCAAGTCTTGCACCAGAGCATTTTTCATGCTTTTCAGCAAGTCTTCATACATTTTTATGAGCCTGCACATTATGAAGTTATTAAGACTTGTATATTAAACTTAAGCTTCCAAGTTATGTTTTAAATAGTGCATAAACCAGGTACCTGTATTAATTCTCCAGAGAAGCATACAAAAGTACGTGAATGCACACTGCTTTGAGCTACTTCCCATATTTAAACCCCTGCAACTTTGCCAGACTAAGACAGTGGTATCAGTCCCTTGTTAGCTTCAAAACAACACATATTAAGCGCACAGAAAACATGCTATAGCAATGGCCCTAAGTAGTTTGGCTAACTGCTGGGGAAAACAAAACAAAACAAAACACCAAATCAAAGAGAAAATAACATCTTGATGGGCAATACAAAGAAAAATACATTAAAGTATTTAAGAGGTAACTGCAACCAGATTCTTAGGAGGGCAGACATTTTTCATCACATATGCTTTCTGAAACTTTAGCATGCACGTGCACTCCAGCGGTGCAAAAGCAGCCGCAAACTCCCTGCTATCACACCACCTCTCAACCCCAAATAACAGTCGAGATTGCAATAAAGATATTTTGGCATAATCTCTCCTAAACTGAAATTTGTATCTTTAAAGACAGTATCAGAGCATTGAAAACTACTTAAAGTTACAGTATGGAAATGGACATTTTAGCGCATTCCCAGAATCCAAAGCACAAAACTGGAACTTTACCTGCCCTTAAAGGTTTATAGAGTTCATTGGATGGTGTTCTCTGCCAGCGTTCTTTGAATTTTGTTCGCAGGTCATTGTCTGTAGTTTCTTCTTCATCTAATAATCTTAATGACTACAAGAGTAAAATGTTACATGCATTATAAGCTGTTCTAAACATGGAATAGCTACAAAATACACAGCTAGTGTAGAAAATACAAATAATGCTTACACATTCTTTATAAATTTAATTTGGCAAATAAAAAGAGGCACAAAAGGCATAAATCACCCAAATTTATTTATAATGCTCCCCACACACACCCCAACAATTTTAAAAACAAAATACTTGTAAGGGACCACCCACATGTGATAGCACAGTTTTTGTATGAACTCAACACTTTAAAAATATGACATTTTAAGCACTATTAGTGTCACAAGCATTTTTGGATAATCATGCACTTTTTCTATGGCCATTTGAAGAGAAAGAGTTCAGTGGTGGTATTTTTTAAGAATGTTTTAGTGTTAGAGGTTGCTGAGCTTACTTCATCTAGAATTTCTTTGTTCCTTTGTAGCAGTTCAGGCAGATCTTTGATCAGCTGATCAACAGTCTGAATTCCTCCCTGTTCAATCACAGATTTAGACTTGTTCAAAATAGACTGAGGAACAGTATCACCAGACACATCTTCGATAGCAGCAGGAAGATTGAGGGAAGCCAACACACTGGAAAAGTCAACATGTTAAATAGCAGCTTGTTTGCAGTATTAGATGGTTTTTACAGAATCACAGAATCACAGAATAGTAGGGGTTGGAAGGGACCTCTGTGGGTCATCTAGTCCAACCCTCCTGCCGAAGCAGGGTCACCTACAGCAGGCTGCACAGGACCTTGTCCAGGCGGGTCTTGAATATCTCCAGAGAAGGAGACCCCACAACCTCCCTGGGCAGCCTGTTCCAGTGCTCCGTCACCCTCAGAGGGAAGAAGTTCTTCCTCATGTTCAGACGGAACTTCCTGTTTTATCCCATAAATAATACTGCTTTCCAAACAAACAATCACACAGTCAATTATAAATGGAAACAGGGTATAATGTAGTCCTGGACAGAAATTTCAAATTGAAAACTCTAAACTTACTCCTAGTGTATACCTCGCCAAAAATAGGTTTCAAAGCTCTTAAAAAGCTAAATAAACCCTAGTCTTTCAGTACTTGTAAAATACGGCAAATATTTTCAGTAATAACTATCTAGTAGGTAAATAACCAACTGTCTTGAATTATATTCATATCTTTCAGCTTGACATAATATTTTTTATTATTATTTATTTTAAAGAACAAAATTTTGGTGGAAAAAATAACAGGAATTCAGTCACTGGTACAATTAATCTGACCACTGGAATGTGAAAATCCTTCTAGATTATTGGTACTGGAACATTTTCTGAGCAAGTCTCAGCCTCATAAAAGATGAAGAAAGAGTGAAGAAAATTAAGTACTATTTGCTCTTAATATACTTTCAGTCTTTACATCTGCAGAAAAGTAGTTCTAAATACTCCTGCTACGGCTTAAGTTTGCCAGCCTATCATACAGTAATAAAACACCACTGCTGACATCTGGATGTCTGCAGACTGCAAGGCAACTGGTGTTTATAGGCTGCTCCATAATTCCTCTTGAGACATTTAACGAAAAGCCATACTCACCCATTTGCCAGATTTGTGGCTTCTCTCATCTGGGCTATTAACCTGTTTACTAGATCTGCCTTCCTCTGGTTATAAACACTCACAGATTGCTGAACTTGCAATGGAACCATCTTCTCAAATAGGTCTGCAATTAAAGTAGTAAAAAATACGTTGCACTATGAAGGTAAAAAGACACAAACATCTTACAGCTTTCGTACAGGTTGCACTACAGAGACTGATCTAAACAGTTTAAGATATTCTCCACCACTCCCCAAGATATCTTAAAAAAACATTAAATCTATTTCTACAGGTCTTTAGATTAGATTTCAGTTTTTATTTCTAAATCAATTCAAGTCTTAATTTAAAGGCATTCTATTTAAAACTATTGTAGGATTACAAATCAGATTTAATTATGACTTCAATTCTAATTCTGCTTTTTTAAAGGAAGAAAATGAGAAAGGGAAGAGAATCATTCTTCAGAACTCCCCTGTACAGCCAACAAACTGAAATTTTTCAGATTTATGGAAGACCAACAACTAGGCTAGTTAAGATTGTACAATTTGATACTCTTCCCTTATATTAGTGTTCCTTCTGAAATTAAAAAGTTTGATTTAATACAGAAAATCCAGTTACTGAGAAAATCTTTAAGAGGAGGGCACATTTCAGGTAATGATTTTCAACCTGTGGTTTATTCTTCCAGTACTTTTTATCATCAAGCAGAACAAACTGGAAAAGACAAACGGCACTTTCAAAAACACTGCTGTACACTTCATACGATTCAAAAGAAAACGTTTACTTTTTCATGGTACAAATGAACTTTGGTGGCCACACGCTTCACAGGGCAACGATTACCTTGTGCGCTCCACACTTCGCTTACCAGTGAATTTCTGACTGAGAGGAACAGAAACTGGAGTAGCCTTCACAAGACTGGCTTTTCCAATGGACTCCAAATCTTTCAGGTCAGGAACCCGGTCATGGTAAATGAAGTCATTGTCTTTTTTGGCAGCTGTAAGTGCACGGTTGATTTTGTCAACCAGATCTTTAACATTTATATATTCATCGTAACGAGATGCCACTGTTTTCACCAAGTCTGCTGCATGCTAAAAAAAAAATAAAAATACAGTTAAAATTAAAATGACTTGTCTTTCTCCCTTTCATATATACCTAGGAAAACAGATGAGCTTCCCCATTAGCCAAGTAACTACTGCTGGTGCGTATGATCAATATTATTACTTCCTTAAGAAAATATTCTCCCCTCTTATGTACCAAAAAGGAAAAAATAGATTTTTACTCATTAGTTTAGGGCGGGCATGGGGTGGGTACACAACACCAAACAAAACAGTAGCCAAGTTAATATCTCACAATAGCTTCAATATGACTCCCCAAAATCTAAAAGAAGTAATCGTGAGTTAGAGGCAGTAACGCTTCGAACACCCATAGCATAGCACCTCTCCTCATGCACTCTTCTATCACTTTGAGAGGGAAGTTATCATCACTGCAGTCCAGGAACCTTCTGGATTGCTTATGCCCTACTATGTTGTCCTGCCAACAGATATCAGGGTGGCTGAAGTCCCCCATGAGGGCCATGGCTTCTGAACGTAAGGCTGCTCCTACCTGCCTACAGAGGGCCTTGCCCACTTGGTCTTCCTGGTCGAGTGGCCTGTAGCAGACCCCCACTATAATGTCACCAGTCCCTGCCCTGCCTTTAATCCTGCTCCTGACTGAGCACTCAGTCAGCTCTCTGTCCATCTCCAGTTGGATCTCCATGCACTCCAGCCATCATTGACACACAGGGCGACACCCCCTCCTCATCTCCCCTGCCTGTCCTTCCCAAAACATTTATAATTTAAAATTAAAAATTTAAAATTTAATCCATCTTTGTTCTAGCTTTTACAAAGGAAAATAAAAAGAGTACTAATTTATAGCAATTAAAGTACTTTTCAAAAAGTCATCAAAAAGGATACTAAACCTCTAATTTTGATTAATTATTGAATTAATATTTTAATAACTATGGAGAACGGGATTTAAGTTTCATCTTTCTAAATGTATTAAATAATAAGAGACAGGATTTTAACTTCTGACTACATGCTGTTCATGAAGCAGTGCTAAAGTAATAACGGAGTATTTCCCCTCAGGCTTCATTAAAACAAAACCAATAAACATACACACCAAAACTTTAACTACTCAGCATAAAAGGATACTTCCTGTACCACAACATGAAGAAAAATCATGGACACAAGCTAATTTACTATACAACTTAACAATGATAGTAAATTTGATATAGTCAGATCTGTCAAGGATGAGCACTAAAAGACATTAATATTCTATTGCAGCAGAGTCCTGGAAAAGGAGGCCTGCTAGGCAGATTTGAAACTGCAGAATAAAAAACAGATACACCTTCATCTATCACCTAGTAACATAGTCATAATACAACAAGTTGCTATTAGAAGTTCATACAGGCACTTCATTGTCATGCAAGCACACAAAAAAAGTTTTAAGCCCCATCCCGCTCCAAGTCAATAAATGCATAATGGTAACTTTCAAAATGTCAACATGACAGTCTTACATAAGTCTCTCAACTCTCCTGTGTATCAATATATAGATTTTGCACATGGATCCTACAAAGGCAGGCAAAGTGGCACCTTTCCCACCCTCCAGGACCAGGGGACTTTAAGAAAGTAGTTATTTTCAGCCTTTTTTTCCCCCCACCTTACTTAAAACGACCTTACTCATTACAGCATATATACCCAAGTCCCTCTAGAAATCACATATAAAGGCAAAAAACTATAAAGGCTAAAAATGCAACTGTTTTTATGTTTTTCAAAAATTATTCCAATTTAAATCAGGATTGCAGGAAAGGAGTTAGGTATAGATTAGGCAGAATTTTAATGTTTTGGGAGTTTTCTTAAATAATATTACTTAGGAAGTTTTATTAACAAGTCTGCTTTATTAGCTACACTAAGATAAGAAGCCTATGCAAAGGTAAAGATACAGACTTAACACGTCAAGCAGTATCAAACTGCCCAAAAAACATTAACATACACCTTTATAAGAGCTAGAGATACCACTCATCTTTGCAGCTGCTAATAACTTGATTCATGTGATAAACATTCTCTTTAAATTTTGAATATATTTCATTCTTAGTTATTTGAATTTTAGAACTCTGAGCTAGCTTTTTGGGATTTAAAGTTTTCCCACATTTTTCAGAGAAGAAACAAAGTTACCCACCTGCAACCTCCCAATTTCTTCACCAAATTTCTTCTGCTGTTTTGCCAGGATAGATTGATGATATTCTGCATTGGCCTGCATAATGCAGTGCTTTGCAGCCAGAACAGGAAACACCTCCTGGAAATAAAAATACTGACCAGGGGAAAGTCCAACCACATTAACCACCACAGACAACATGGGATGCAGGAAGAAAAAGGAAGAAGAAAAGGAAATTAGAATCACCCAATTAATGGTTTAGATAGGTTAAAACATTAGAGGTAAATGTCAGAGACCACGTGACTTTGCATGGATTGAATCCAGTCTTTTTCTAATCTGTTGTTGCAAAATTCTTAGTGTCCGTTATTTTAGATGACCTACAATTTAAATTCAAGCCATGAAGTCACAACATTTACTCTGAAGATTAGAAATGCATGCACATGTTAGAAAGCATAGTTTCAAGAACACACCCAAATGCCCTCAAGACAAAGCCAAGCCAAAGCATTCTTAAAAGAAGGGGAAGGGGGGAAAGACAGTCCTTTTTCTATTTTTTCCTCCAATTTAACAAAGCGGTTACACTTAAAACACCAGCAGGCCTATCAAGAAAGTAACTCTAAAATTATGAAAGCAAAGAACAAATAAAGAGGACCAATAGCTACTGACATGGAAAGCAATTTAAACATCATTTTTAGACTTTCATATGAATGCACTTATCTTTGCAGGAGTACCAACCAAGACATGAAGAAAACATTATGCTGCAGCCCACAGTATAAGCATGGTCTTTGATCAACGATTTGGCCTTACTGTTTTATTTCTTAAATCAAGGAGCACTGGAAAACCAGAGTTATATTTTAAAGACCTCAGTATATATAGACCTGCTTCTTCATATTTGCACAAATTTGCTGCCCCCACCAGAGATGAAAAGAAAAAAAAAAAAAGAGGGTAAATTTGGATGAAAAAGCCATCTGGGAGGCCTTGCAACTGGCATCTGACCCATCAAGTCAACCTCTATTTCACACTCCCATACGAGTAACTGTTCTCAGAGCTGGTGTTAACTCAAGGAACCAGCAAACCTTATTCTGTTCTTTCAGATAATCAACTGACAGACTGCTGTGCAGCTGGAACTGAGAGCAGATATATGGCTTAGAAAGGTCCACAACAACAAAAGACAAAGCAGTAACTTTATTATCCTCATTGCCTCTCAGAAATCGATTATAAACATAATACCTAAGTGAGAAATTGGCCCAGTCTGTAAAGTGCCACAGAATGTGTGGGAGGAAATATGCACATACATAAAAGAATCTATCAAGTTGTAGCCAAGCAAGATATCAATTTAACTTTAAAAAAAAAATTTTTCCAAAAATGTATATAGAAGTGAACTCACTGGCCTACAAAGGCATGTGTCACTTACTGCTTAAGCATAAAAATGAATACTTTTACTTTATAGGAAATAGCCCTTACCCATACAGTTCCTATCATCACGAAGATTCTATTCTACATTAAAAAAAGGGGCGGGGGGGGGGGGGGGGGGCGGATTTACCC